CAGTTCTGCTCTCAGGCCAGCCCTCAGCAGGGTCACCCAGACCCTGGACCAGACCATTGCTGCCCCACACCTGACCCTTCCACAGACACCTGCCTTGCCCTCCCAACACCATCCTTTATTTAGTAAGTTACTAAGTAACTGAGGCACTGCAAGGAAGGAAACAAATATGACAGAATATGAAGTTGTGTATGATTATTGAACCTATTGAGTATTTCCATAGTGATAAATATGCCTACACACCACTTCACTCCAATCACAGATGCTCAGGGGATTTACTCTCTCAGCAAAATATATTTTTAAAGTTATCATGCCTCACATACACTTCAATAAGTCATGCACAATACTCAAGTGGCTTGCAACAACAAATATTTTTCTTTTGTGTATGTCCTAAGTGTGTCCTAAGTCCTAAGTGACCTATGGGTCATTGTAATTCTGTTCAGTTTCTTACCACATTTATCATTTGGGAGTCAGGATCATAAAGAATAGCAACTTCTTGTAAGCAGAATGTGTAGTAGCCTCTTGTATTTAGAGAATCAGATTCATTCTCATTCTATGGGCAAGTGAAAGTCACCTGGATAAACCAGCCAATTGGAGTTGAAAGCATATTCTATATAAAGGAAGATGTGCTGTGGGATGTTCTGTATGACAAATGTGTTGCTGATTAGTTAATAAATAAAACACTGATTGGCCATTAGCTAGACAGGAAGTGTAGGCAGGACAAGGAGGAGAATAAAGCTGGGAAGTGGAAGGCTGAGTCAGAGAGACACTGCCAGCCACCATGATGAGAAACAGCATGTAAAGATACCGGTAAGCCACGAGCCATGTGGCAAGGTATAGATTAATAGAAATGGATTAATTTAAGCTGTAAGAACAGTTAGCAAGAAGCCTGCCACGGCCATACAGTTTGTAACCAATATAAGTCTCTGTGTTTACTTGGTCGGGTTTGAGCAGCTGTGGGACTGGCGGGTGAGAGAGGTTTGTCCTGACTGTGAGCCAGGCAGGAAAACTTTAGCTACAAATGGCGCCCAACGTGGTGGCAAGAGTTTCCACCTAAAAACTGAGAAAAAAGATTCTAAAACGGAGCTAAAAACAGCTTCCTAATTGTCTCTCTCAAATGAGCGGCAGCTGCCGGTTTGAGCTACTGGTGGGTTCCTAGAGTGTGCGCTCGACCTGCAGTATGGCAGGAACGAGGCCTCTGCAAGTGGCACATTAAGCTGCATGGTGGATTTAGCCTTTGCAGGTACAAAAAAAAAAAAAAAGGTTTCTGGACTACACGCTGCTTGGATAAAAGCATAGACCCACGATAGCTCCCAGAGCTGGTGGTAAATGTAGCCATGTTGGGAAGCTGAGGTGGGCAGAGCTAGCAGTCACAGCTGCTGCAGTTTAAAGCAATAGATTCACAATAAGACAGATTCAGATGTAATAGTTTACAATGTGTGTAAAAAATGTACGTAGGTTTGAAAGAGAAAGAAAAAGGAATATATACAGTTATATAAAGAAATAAATAGTTTTTAAAAATAAAGTCTTTAAAGAGACAGTAAAGGTAGTATAAAAAATAAGCCACGTAAAGATGAGTATTACACAGAGAATCTGGATTGTGTTGTCTTTGGGATTTTTAACTGCAGAAAAACATTTGATTGTAAAATATGTTGAGTTATGCCAAAATGTATATTTTAAAGATACCTTGACTTCAAAAATTGGATATAAGGATATGTTGCTTTGGAAAAGAGTCTCTTTTGTTTCCACAGAAAGCCAGAGGCTATGGATTTGTTCAAGATTAAGATACATCAGGTTTGACCAGCCAAGACCCCCTGAAAGGTCTCTGATGACACCATGGCCAAGATGATCTATCATCCAGAACAATTTGAAGGCAACTGGCTCAGACGATACACCCTCATGGACTATTCCATAATTTAAAATTTTCTTTGTATCCCCATAAGATACAGCGCCCCCCTCCAGCAGGAAGTAGTAAGAGAAGCTCCACCCAAATTCCCAAATTATATGTAATTTTACTTTGTTAAGGTTAAAACCTTCCTTTTTGAAAAAAAATGGGGGAAGTGCTGTGGGATGTTCTGTATGACAAATGTGTTGCTGATTAGTTAATAAATAAAACACTGATTGGCCATTGGCTAGACAGGAAGTGTAGGCAGGACAAGGAGGAGAATAAAGCTGGGAAGTGGAAGGCTGAGTCAGAGAGACACTGCCAGCCACCATGATGAGAAACAGCATGTAAAGATACCGGTAAGCCACGAGCCATGTGGCAAGGTATAGATTAATAGAAATGGATTAATTTAAGCTGTAAGAACAGTTAGCAAGAAGCCTGCCACGGCCATACAGTTTGTAACCAATATAAGTCTCTGTGTTTACTTGGTCGGGTTTGAGCAGCTGTGGGACTGGCGGGTGAGAGAGGTTTGTCCTGACTGTGAGCCAGGCAGGAAAACTTTAGCTACAAAGATGGGTCTAAGGCATTGAAATGGTCCTTTTACAGAGGAGTATGAAGGCACTGGGACCAGCATAGCATCTACACCTAATCCCTTTACTGTTTACTCAGGAGATGTATGTTATTGGGTTTCAAAATGGACCATTAGTCCCAACCGCAGAAAAGAGGTACTATTGCAACACAAGCATGAAATACTAAAACTTGTTGGAGAGATGGCTCAGTGGTTAAGAACACTGGCTACTCATCCAAAGGACCTGAGTTCAATTCCCAGTAACCATATTGTGGTTACGACCATCTATAATGGGATCTGATACAATCTTCTGGCATGAAGTCATACATGCAGACCGAATACTCATGTACATGAAATAAATAAAACACTCAAACTTGTGCTTCACTGATCTCTGATAGTGAAGTAAACTAGTGTCATATGGGTTAGTGTTGGGTGTCTGTCATGTACACCATGGGGTCTGTCATGAAGCAGTGTGGGAGTGCCTGGGACAGTGATGGTGCACATTCTCCTGTTCACCAACATCTGCATTCATATTATTTATATCTGACCTATCGAAGAAAGACTTGTCTAGACTTTTACCCATTTCATAGGAAGTTACCTCTCTAATTGTTTGGAATTCCTAGAGCTATTTGGAAGTCTGTTTTATCATGGTAAGCCATGAAGCTTTGTGCTGCTCAGTTCTTTCATAGTTCATGCTAACAAGATGAGTCATGGAGGGAACTCATCATTTCAGAAACACTGACCATGTGATAAAAGTTAAGTCTTTGAGCCATGAGATGCTCACCCTATCAGGGAAGTGGTGCTGAAATTTGAGTTCACTCTCTTATCAGCCAAACACTCAAACCTACATAATAAACTCTGATAAATCTCTGAACATCAGAGCTCAGATGAGTGCCCCTGGTTGGCCTGTTCTGTATACGGCCACTCATTAACATTCTGGGAAGAAGATGCATCCATGGGGTCCATGGAAGTTCCCTTTATGGGCCCTCCCCGACCTCACCTGATATGTTCCTCCCTTTAGTTCTGCTTTGTATCTTTCTACATAAAAAACTGTAACCCGGCCGGGCGGTGGTGGCGCACGCCTTTAATCCCAGCACTCGGGAGGCAGAGCCAGGCGGATCGCTGTGAGTTCGAGGCCAGCCTGGGCTACCAAGTGAGTTCCAGGAAAGGCGCAAAGCTACACAGAGAAACCCTGTCTCGAAAAACCAAAAAAAAAAAAAAAAACTGTAATCCTAGTAGAACAGAATCGTAAGGTCAGTGTGTCATCCTAGAAGCTCATAAATCTGCAGGTATCATGGGATGCTGGGACTCTGCAGACAGTTGACTTGAAGTAATGGCATCCTTGGGAACTCCTGAACTTGAAGCGTGAGTCTGAAATGAGGACAGTCTTGTGGAGGCATGGCCTGAACTTGTAGAATAATTTAATTAGTAAATGAAATGTTTTTGGCTATGGCTTACTAGAACAGCCATAAGAAATATTTTGAGGATGGCTGAGGAAATACAGGCAAGATCACACATTATCTGAGAAAAGAGTTGTTAAATTTTCTAAGAGTGATAGTGGTATTGTTTTGTTTTGCACTGACAATTTCAGATGATATATATTGAAGTATTGACTGAAGTGTTATGTATCAAACTAGCTATCAAGTGTCCTATCAAATAACATGTGCATATATACATACACACACATATATATAAAATTATCAAAATGTTAACAATCATTACTATAAATGGAAATTGTATGAGTATTGATGATACCATCCAGTCAACTTCTGTTTCAAAATATTCATGATAAGAAGTTGAAAAGGTTTCCAAAGTGTTAAGCAGCATGCAGGCTTCCATGGGACATGGGGAATCTCCTCAATGTCCATCCACAGGGCAAAGGCTGTCCCTAATGCAACAGGCACAAGGTGGGACACCAAGAATAACAGGTGGTACTAGTAGAAGGTTGGCTATCGTCTTCTTAAAGTTGCTCTTGAGGAAGGTCACCCAGTCCAGGATCAGTCACCATTAGAGGCCCACATCAGCCTCACGGCACCCACAGCACCTGACACACTAGCCATGGGGACCAAGTTCCTGAGTGGGTCCTGGTAGTGCAGGTATTCAGGGACACGAGAAAATGCTGATGGAAGGGCACAAACTGCCAGAGAAAATGTGAGTAAGCAGTTACAGTTTCAAGGTGTCAATGTTAACAATGTCACTCTGTCTGTCTGAATTTGCTTAAGAAGATCTAAATGGTCTAACACCACACACACGCAAAACAGACAACTATGTTAGGTAATAGAGGGTGTTGTTAACTTAATTGTGGTAGCCATTGCCCAATACATTTCCATATCAGGTCAAGACAGTGTAATGCAAATATACATGATTTATTTGTCAATTATACATCAATAAATCCAAAGACAGAGGAACGAAGAGAGAGATGGGTAGAGGGACCACACCATACAATTCTATAATCAAATAAGACTTTAGGAATCTAAGAATGGACAGAGAAGCTGGAGTGCTTCTACATATGCACAAAGAGATCCTGTAGAGTCTCTGGTATATGGGAAATTCTCATTATATAAAGAGTAAAGGATGAATAAATAAGTATAAGTATATATGTGAACAAGTATTATCATATGTAAAACTTTTGGCTGCCTACCTAAATTTCTATGGACATCTCTTCTACAAGAAGATCTTTCCAAGTCTTCATGTAATGGTTGATAAAAATGTAATCCCATGTCTATGAAGAATGATTGATTCATAAGTATATTTTCTTCATCTGACAAACTGATTTCTGTTTACCACTGCAAGGGACGTCATTCCAGCCCCAACTAGAATATGGATGATTTATTATAACACATTGTTCGTTGTCACTGCTGGGCTCACCTGGGTGCCAGAACCTGGAAGGGAGGAAAGAGCATCAGGGTGTTTCCCACAGTAATGCTGGGAAAGAGAAAACAAGAGTAAGCAAGCCTCAGGATGTGGTGGGAATTTGTGGAAAGCAGATTCAGGTATGTGCAAATCAACTGTCTCGACCACCCATGTCTGACATGTCCCTGGACAACAGGGCCACCTCACCCAATATTCTCTCAACTTGTTACTCAACTGTTCTCCTAGAACACATCCCAGAGGCTACTTCATCCCTAGGTCTTGGTATCTGGGGACTGTCATTCCATGTGCTTATTTATATGTTGAAAAGGTCTCTCATTCTCATGCTGTAATAATTTTTTTCATTTTACAATAGTCTTATTTTAGAGACTGGAGAAATACTTAAAATAGTTAGATAATCTATGTATTTCTGTCATCTAGGACAAGTAATTTACTACCCTGGATTCCTACTTTTCTTCTCTGAAAACTAAGAATGAGAATAATATTACTACCTATTTCTCACAATAGAAATTAGGATAGAATATGGGAACACACTAAGATATTAGAGTTTTTAAATAATTACATAAATATGACACATAAAAATATGAGATTGAGGGCTTTTGATTTAAGAGAAATAATCAGTTATGATCTTGATGTTAATTTTTATTATAGATATAAAAAAAATCTGGACAGATGGCTCAGACATAAGAGTGCTTGCTGCTTTTCCAGAAAACATGACATCTCTGTTCCCAGCACCCATATTGACGCAGTCATACCAACTGTGACCTTAGCTGCAGAGAATCCAACACCCACTTACAGGCTCCATGGGCACCCACATACACATGAAACAAAGAAAGACATAGATATACACACTAATAAAGATAAATTAAATCCTATTGTTTAATATATAGAGAGACTGAAAGCATAATAAAACCCACCATGGTGTAGCACCTTAGTTCGGTACCCTGGGTACTTATCATCCTACACTCTTCAAACTCAGTTTCCTCATCTCTCCCGGAGTACCAGTGACATGTGTCTCACAGGACTCCTTGATAAGGAAATGGGGATAAAGTAACTCCATCCCCAGCACTCACACCAGGAGTGAGCTGTTTAGTTTCATAACCAACAGCTGGAACACCCTAAAGTCTTCTCATGCTACAGGACCCAGGACTCCTCTAGGTAACTCTGGACTCACGTGGCACTTTCATTGTATGGTGTCTGATCAACCCATCGCCACTGTCGGTGACCTGCATCAGAAAGCCCAATATAATAAGCAGCTTTAGAATGCAGGGTATTGGTGATGAAATTCTAAGAGGAAAGAAAGATACAGCATTCAGGCTAGATGGAGTGCTTCTTTTTCTGTTATAGAATTTTTATAAGATCTTTAAAAATTATTTTAACCATACAAAATTATAGGTCCAATATGATGCACATATGCAAATATGTAATAATCAAATCCTATTTCATCTCTCTAGGCCCTTAAATATTTCTGAAATTATAGATTAATACACATTAATTATACATTTTTGAGATATACTGTGATACTTCAACTGACATTTTTTCTGGTCATAATGAGATGAGAAGACAAAGATATGATCAAGGAATAGAAGAGGAGCCACCCCCATCCCCAGGAGTGCTATCTTCTCTGGCTGACCAGGACACATGACATTGGAAACAATCTCTGTCTGTGATCATAATGAATTCTCATCTCAGACTCACTCCCCTCTTTTCTTCCCCAGCACCATTCTTGAAAGTTGTGCATGAGAGAATTTAGCAGATTAATCACTCTTTATTCATAACCTCAGATATTTCATTTCTGATGGTTGGCTGTGACTCTCTTGATTTGACCCCCTTTCCCTAGTCAGCTCTGCTCCCTCCTCTGTTAGGCAGTGGGTACTACAGGAAGCATTAGAGTGCTGAAATCACAAACTGGTCTTCCAAGCAGAAACACTTCATCCCTCCCTCCACCCTCAGGCATTGCATTTCTGTTGCCATGGTTTCTTGTGGGTTGTTCAGCTTCACTGAAGTCGGGACAAGGTGTAGAATGCCAAGACTGAAGCATCCTTTCCAGCTTCCTGATGGAAAGCCTTCTGCCACATCAGCAACACCCATGTCAACAAAACTCCCTCTTAGTAAAAAGAGGCAGAGAGCAGGCCAGGCCCAGGCCCCACTCTCTCCCAGGATGCACCTGCTCTTCCTGGCTGTGGATCACCATCAGATGAGCACCCATGCTGGAGCACTTCTCCTCACTTTCTCTCCAAGATGCTGAGTCAGTGGAAGTGAAGTAGCAGTGGGAACTAAATGGCTTCCAATTCTTTGGGCAACAGCTCCAGACTTTGTTTTTGGGAGAAGAAGGAAATGTAAGTGCAAGATGAAGTCATTTTAAAACCTGCTTGATGTGGAGACCACATGGAACCTGGGACTCGCCAAATCTACAGATACATACAGCAAGGAATCCCTCCCAATTCAGATGCCAAGCACTCAGGTCTACCTCTATCTACACTAACATCAGGACCCCGTTGTCCTACTGGGGTGTTGTCAGGAAAACAGAATGCCATGGACACCCAGACACTGAGGCCATAATCCAAACTGGTCTCTAAATAATAGTTTAGTTCTTGATATAACTCATTATACCAAGAACCAGATAATTTCATAGTTTTATATGTTGTATTTAAATAATGCATGTCAGTAATCTGTAGTGGGTAGCCATTCCAGCTTTGATCTGGAAGTTCCAAGCCCCATTGAGACTTCGGCAACTGTCACGCCTACAAGGCGGGGCCAAGGGAGGCACCGGGGGACCGGAGATCTGGATCGGCGGGCGCGCTCTCTGTTGCGGAACCCTGGACTGGAGAGGTGGACTGAGCAGAGCTCCAGAGAACACCGCTGGACTGTGATACACCTTCCCCAGACTCTGCGACCTACCTATTCCTTAATTTGTAAGTTACGCCATTAAATAAATCTCCTTTTAACTACGTGGAGTGGCCTTAATAATTTCACCAATAGTAATCATAGTAGCAAAATTCTGACAATTTTTAAGTTAATGATGATAAAAATACTTCACAAACATATTACAAAGATTCTAGAAATAAATGTAAAATAGAATGCCTTTAGAAAGTAAAAAAATATAAAAACCCAATGTGTGTAAATACAACTTTTTTAATTTTTGAAAACATCATTTTAATCATTGCATAGTGTTTCATTACAATCATATATGAATATATTTTTAACAAATCCATTTTTTGCCAGTTACTAAGGGCATTGCTTTTCTTTACACTCCTATTAAGAATAATAGCAGGAGATCAACTTTTTCTACACTAGTTAATTGTGTCCCAGGGAAAATTTTAGAGAATAAATTGCTGGGTCAAAGGATGAAATGTGTTGTAAATATAACTCTTTCTATCTGTGATCATGTGTTTTTCCATTTCATAATTGAAAAAATTGATAGAATAGTCTTTTTTAAATGCAGTACAATGGAGTGACAGAGAAATCAGGAGAAACAAACATCATAGAAATCGAATTGAATAACAGAGAAAAAACAGAAATAAACAAATAAATACATATATACATAAATAAATACAGTCTCCCATCATGATCCTTAATTGTCTATACCAAATAAAGAGAGGTATAAAATATATGAAAAATAAAGCAAAGAATTGAGATTGTGGCAGATACAAGGAGTTATATTCACACACTCATGTATATCCCTATGTGCTTGTACGGATACAAAGAATGTCAGAGATGAGAAAACAATCAAAGAACAGAAGGAGACAGAAGAATGGATGGCCAGAGCATGCAGTGTTCAGTGAAGAACTAAGAAATGACATTTTTAGTGGTAAATGTAAACAAGGCTCAGGGAACAAAGACTATTATTGTGCACCATTATGAAGAACTTGGATAGATATAGACAGATACATTATTCTGTCTCTTGAGAAACCTAACCCAATATTCCACCATAGTGTGGGCTATATGCCCAACATCCTTTAAAATTACAATGTGGAAAATGGATTTTAAAAAAGATCAATCTTTTACATTTAATTAAAATATAATTATATCATTTTCCCTCCAGTCCCTGCCGTGTTCCCTCCTCCCTCTCAAATTCATGGCCTATTTTTACTGTTCTAAGAGCTACAGACAATTAATACCTGCTGAGAGAGGGAGAATTAATCTTTTCCAGGGATGAGCCTCCTAACTGGTTATCCAACACCAAGTGGTTAGCCTAAAAGGGTATGCTTGTATCAGCCGAACACAGCATAGCAAGGTGCCGTCAGACTAGGCATAATCCCTCATATCAGGCCTGGATGAGGCAACCCAGTAGGAGGAAAAAGATCCCATGAGCAGAGGAGGGCTGCTCTTTTCTAAAGGGAAATGGAGGAGCAGTGGATGTGGAGGGTAGGGGAGCTGGGGGGGTGTGGAGGAGGGGAGGACAGGAGGCTGCAGCTGGGATGTATTGTATGAAAGAAGAACAATATTTTTAAAAAGAAATAAGAGATTCAGATGATGAAAAAAAGGTACACTTTTAAATGTCCTACCTTAAGTGACCATAATAATATATGATGGTGATAATAACGGTCTGTAATAATTTGTATAGTTTAGACCCTGTGTACTATATAATTAAACTAACATTTTACATCTGTCATCTTCCTCTCCAAAAATAATTACCTAGATTTTAATATAGGAATATCCTATAATATACCAGATCAGTCATCCTCAAAACTGATATTCTGATCTTTTAAAACAAGTATCTTTTGAAAACTCATCCCAACCTAGAGAAAATTAAAGAGATTTGACAACTAAATACAGTGTTGCCATCCCAGATGAGAGTCTAGTAATAATGAACTTCAATCAGTGATGATATCAGTATTCACCTGCTAGCTGTAGCAATGTTTGCTTATAAAGATGTTCATTTAGAGGACAGTGTATGTATATGTGGGGTTAGAATGATATCTGTATATCACATGAAATCATGTGTAAATTTAAAAGTGTTCTCAAGGAGTCTGTTAAAACTTTAAGTAATTTGCATTCATGATACAGGGTATCATCATTTTCTTCAAATTATATATGTGTATATATGCATATATATACATATATTTTAAAGTTCTCTTTCTTTATTATATATACAGTGTTCTGCCTGCATATATCCCTGCATGCCAGAAGAGAGCACCAGATTTCATTACAGATGGTTGTGAATTACCATGTGGTTTCTGGGAATTGAGCTCAGGACCTCTGGAAGAGCAGCCATGCTCTTAACTTCTGAACCATCTCTATAGCCCCGTGTGTGTGTGTGTGTGTGTGTGTGTGTGTGTGTGTGTGTGTGTGTGTACTGAGGTAAGAAACAGCAAGTGTGCAGAGATGGTTCAGAAAGAAGCAGAAGCTGGAAAAATCTAATACAATAGGAACCTTTTCAAAAACAAGACTTGTGTAGACAAATGGAGGCATACATATCAGACTTTCTGGTCTGATATAGATGTGCATATGGACTCCACTTCTCAGTACCTGCCACCTGGGAATCTATTACAAATATCACACAACTCAGGCAGACATCTCCTACTCAAGTGCAGGGCACACTAGCCAGGAGAACCAGTAGGCAAACTCAGGAAGAGAATCAACTGCTAGACCAGAGGCCACTCGGCCACCAGAACTCCAGACAGACCTCCCACTTGAGGACTTCCTTCACTCTCTTAGTGCATCCCAGTCTACCCCTAATCATCCCTCCCCTCCTCACCATGTCTCAGCTCCAAATTCAGATGGAGACCCCCTGCTCAACCAGAGGCCAGGACAGCTGCCAGAAGTCCAGTCCTCATCTCGGGAGGAGAACCTCTGCTCAACCACAGGCCACACAGAATAAAAGACCAAAAAGGAAAGAGAAACCAAGAAATAAAACATCCTCCAAACAAAGACAAACTTAAAAATTGACATGTAGACCTAAAATCACCCCAAACCCAGGTGCCTGGATGCCAGACTAAGAATACAATCAACAACAGCCATGGTGATATGTCACCAGCAGAGCCCAGCTATCCTACTATAACAAGTCCCAAATATTCCAATACTGTCAAAGTACAAGAAAAAGACCTCAGAACCAACTTTATGGAGATGATAGGGGTCCTTAAAGGGGAAAATGAATTAACCCCTTAAAGAAATCAAGGAAAACACAAACAAAAAATTGGAGGAAATGAATAAATCCCATAAAGAAAGCCAAGAAAAAACAAACAGTTGGAATAAATTAATAAAACTGATCAAGACCTGAAAATAGAAATAGGAGCAATTAGAGAAAACACAAAATGAAGGAATTTTGGAAATTTAAAATCTGAGTAAGTGAATGGGAACTACAGACACAAGCATCACCAAGAGAGTTCAAGAGATGGAAGGGAGAATCTCAGGCATTCAAGATATGATAAAAGAAATGGATAATTCAGCTGAAAAAATTAAATCTAAAAAATTCCTGACACAAAATATCCAGGAAATTTTGCACTCTATAAGGAGATCAAACTTAAATATAGTAGATATAGAACAAGGAGAAGTATCTCAGCTCAAAGACCCAGAAAATATTTTCAACAAAGTCATACAAGAAAATGTTCCTAATCTAAAGAAGGAGATGTTTATAAAGATATAAGAAGCATACAGAACACCATATATATAACCAGAAAAGAAAGTCCCCTCACCACATAATAATGAAAACACTAAGCATATATAACAAATAAAGAATACCAAAAGCTTGAAGAAGGAAAAACCAAGTAACATATAAAGGCATACCTATTAGAATTACACCTGATTTCTCAGTGTAGACTATAAAAGCCAGAAGGGCCTGGACAGATGCACTACAGACTGTAAGAGACCATAGATGACAGCCAAGACTACATACCCAGCAAAACTTTCAATCAACATAGATGGAGATATGATATTTCATGATATTTAAAGATAAATTCAAATTCAAATATTATCTATCCACAACTCCAGCCCTACAGAAGGTACTAGAAAGAAAACTCCAACCCAAGGATGTTAACAATGCCTGTGAAAACACAGGAAATAAATAATCTCACTCCAGCAAAACCAAAAGAAGGGAAGCACATACTCATACACACATCACCACCACTATACCACCACCAATAACACCAACAACAAAATAACAAGAATTAAAAGTCATTAGTCATTGATATCTCTCAATATCAATAGACTCTATTTCCTAAGAAAAAACACACAGAATAATAGAATGGAAGCAAAACCAGGATCCATCCTTCTGCTGCATACAAAAAATACTCCTCAATATCAAAGATAAACATTACCTCAGAATAAAGGGTTGAAAAAAAAGATATTCCAAGCAAATGAACCTAAGAAGCAACCTTGAGTGGGCATTCTAATATCTAACAAAATAGACTTCAAACCAAAACTAGTCAAAAGAGACTGGGAAGGGCATTTCATACTCATCAAAGGAAAATCCACCAAGATGACATTTCATTTCTTAACATCTATTCTCCAAATTCAAGGACACCCAAGTTTGTA